CTGGAAGAGATAGAAAAGTGTCATAAACTTAAAATAACTGTTATAAAATTAAAATATACTTTACAATCTAATGAGATTTTCCTTGATCTGGTAAAAGTTAAATAGTCCAAACTCCCTGACAGATGTGAAGCAAATTATCGTTATATCTGAAAGTAATTACAGTCAGATAAAGAATTAAATAAGTCTCTTATTAAAAAAAACTTAGAACATAAAAACACATTCGTATGCTAGCAAAATACACTACAATTTGTGGTGATGTAATTAAACAGGAACAGTCAAATTCAAACTAAAAATGCCGACTAGTAGTCAAAGACTATACAATTTAATTTTAATCTAAGTTGGCTCAGTAACTCTATCATCGTAACAAATTAAAGTGTCAGCGGCGATAATGCAAACACGAATAATTACAAATTGTCACAACTAGCAGGAACTAATGCAGCATGCAAGGAAGGCCAGAAACACTGTCTTACAATCTAAAAACCTCAGTTTAAAAACTATTTAAATGATTTGCATGCTGGTGGGGAAAAGGAAAGAGGAAGTTACAGTAAAGGCTGAAATTAGAAGCAACTGGTTAATTTACATAATAATAACTGTACATATCTTTAAAGAATAATTTTCTTTCTCTTTATGCATTAGTTTCTTTCTTCAATACGTTTCCTCGCCATTTTAGAATTTTTGGATTTAATTAAAGGTGTCTGTTATTCTAAAAAACCAAATGCATTTAGAACGTATAGAAAAGCTGCTGAACTTTATTTCTTTAGTAATAGTACGAACATTCAGAAAAAAATTAAAATTACATATGGCATGGTCTGGTTACATAGCTGGTATGGCAGAATTTTTAGAGTTTAGTGACACACCCGAGCAACAAAATCTAGAAATGACAAAACTTTTAGAATTTAGGACAGGCACTGAGAGCAGAATTTAGGAAGGCACTAGGCAGCAGAATTTAGGAAGGCACTAGGCATCAGAATTTAGGAAGGCACTAGGCAGCAGAATTTAGGATCCACAGAGATAGCATCAGGTGGGAAAATGTCTAGTGCGAGCCCTATGTATGATGCATTGAGACATATAGAATGAATCTTTTGAATTGTCAGTTTTTAATTCCTTTATAACTACAAAAATTCCTTTCTTACAAATACCTGTCCATGTGATAAGATTAGAAATATTTATGATATTTTTAACGCTTGTGCTTTGCGAAAAGAGAAAATAAAGGGAAGATAAAACATGTTCAAAAAATGACTTCTAGTATCAGAAGTAAAACGTTCAAATACTATGCATTCATTGCCAAACATTCTCCAAAAAGTGAGAAATTGATCACAAATTTTCTGTAAAATACATCCATTATGTGTTAATACTATGAAGACATTTCTCATTTTGTCACATTTTTCTGGAATCTTCTAGAATCATGGGTCTATAAATCTTGCCTTCAAATCCTTCTAAACTTTCCAAGTTGCAATGTCAGAAATCCTAAAGAAAAATTACCCCTACCAATTCTGAAACAGCAAAGCAAAAAGCCAGAAATGTTTTTTGGGAAAAATAAATAATAATAATAAATCTGAAAGCTTTCGGATTCTATAATTATGCCCAAAGGGGTTTTTTTAAACATTTGTGTGTTACCTTTATTAAATATCATGTTCTTCTCACTTAACCACGGTTCAACAACAATATTACAAAATATTAAAAAAGAGCATATCTTTAGAATTTTCATTACACAGTCTCGCATGTTGAAGATAAAAGGGCTTTTTTTTTCATACAGCGTTGCCATTGCTCGCTTTGAAATCGTTGAGTTTTTTAATCAAAAATTCATTAAAGTTTTACAAAATATGAAATAGATAATAAAACAGATTACAAATTTGGGCTTCCAGATGCCCAGATTCGAGTAGAGGACTATGTTATTCAAAATTTGATGTTTACAGGTACCATTGTTTTTTCACTATTGGAGATACATACATACATTCCTCCAGATTCTTCATTATTTAATTTCTTTAAATATAATGCAGGGTTCTAATTTTTGGTGGCAAAAATTTGAAAAGTGAAATGCTGTTTTAGAGTGGATGACGCAAAACGGCAAATTAAAATTAATAGCTCTTCTGGGCAAATTGCCCCCCCCCCCAAATATAAAAGGGAAAAGAGTAAAATTTACTTTGTAGTGAAAACTGATGCATATTCTGACACAATTATATCAGAAAAACTCTTACCATGAAAAAATTAAAAAGGAGAACATTTTTAATTAATTACATAGCTATTTTGCTTTTGCTATCAATTGTTTAGATTATTTCGTAAATTATGCTTCATAGCATTTATTAGTTGGTTTATTTTTTAGATTCAAAATATTGTATAATAAGTTAGTAAAATAGAAAACAATGTCACTTTGTAATATTACGGCAAAAAATAAACATGTTTTATTTTAATACTATTTCTGAAGTATAATTTCATTATACTACCATTAGTTTCATTAAATCTTTAAATGTTATAATGTTTAAGAAAAACTGGCGAAAATTCCCTGATCTCCGAATTAAAAATTTTGTATAGAAACTAATCTTAAAATCGTCAAATTTATAATCATCTAATAAAAGAATTCACATCCCTAAAAGCGAAAAGTTGTTCAAGAGCTCTTTACTAGAAAAAAAAATGAAATGAACTTCGAAAAGCTTATGTTTTACTATATTATCACTATTTTGATGAAATTTATTATTATTATAATGTTCTAAAAAATTGTCGAAAAATTCACAAATCTTGCAATTAAAATTTTTCTATAGAAATTTATCTTAAAATCGCCAAAATTTTGATAAGTCACCAAATTTAGAATTTACATCCCGAAAAGTGAATAGTTCTTAAGAACTTTAATATTGTATTGGTATAAAAACAATCAGCGAAAAATTCACAAATCTTGTAATTAAAAATTTTCTATGGAACTGATCTTAAAATTGCCAAATTTAGAACCATTTAATAACAGAATTTACATCTGCAAAAGTAAAAAGTTGTTTAAGAGCTCTTCATTAGAAAAAATAAAAGAATTTCGAAATGCTTAACTTTTATTTGTTACCTAGAAACTTGAATATTGCACCGTTTTCTATTAGAAATAGGAACAAATTATACCCATTCAAATGATTCAATGAACCCATTAAAAAGATAACCATATTTGTCAGTGAATCACCGAAAATATTCCTCCAAAATGCTTATTCTCACTCAAAATGGGAGTTGTAAAAACAGACAGAAATTTCAGATGATTAAAATTAAAGGACCTTTTGCGATTGTAGGTGAAATTAAGGACTTTTAAGAACCAAAAATAGATTCCAAAAAACCTAAGGACTCTTAAGAACTGTATGAACCCTGATTATACTATATATTGGGATTTAGCATAATTACTATGACATATTTTATTATTGCTGCAATACGTTTATATTTTTGTTGATTAATTGTATATATAATTGAATTGTTGCATTATCAATGACTAATTATATTATCAATGACTAAATTTCTCATTGTTGTAATGAAAGTCAAATCAATATCATTGTTTCATCAAATCCTTAAATCATGAATATATATGTTCACTATTAAAGAGATTAAAATATCTCTAATACTTATTTTAATCAGATTAGTACTTATGCTTTGAAAAGGTACCAATTTTTTTATAGCTCACATTAGTTAATAGCTCATTTTGTTAGAGTAAAATTATACCTAACAATTATTTTATTTATTTGCAATTTAATCTATAACTAAGATTTAAATTAGTTATGCGTGATTAAAACAATATGTAATAATTAAATGTCATATTTTTGTAAAATCATCGAGCTCTAGTATAGAATTGGGTGCCCGTTCGATTAGCAATCCTTTTTTTTTTTTTTTTTTTTTTTTTTTTTAATTTTGGCGATGAAACCTCATTTCTCGTTACCATGATATTTTAACTTTGTTTTAGCTTTCTGATTTTTTTTAATGAAAATAGATTGATGTGTACATGGACAAATTTAAGGCAGTGCACAATGCCTGGTTTGTGCAATTCTGGGATGTTTTTTTAAGTGAAAACAGATTGATGTGTACATGGACACTGAGTTCGTGCAATTCATTTTGTTTTTTTTTTGTAGCGGCCATCTTGAAACTGTGCCTTCCTGGTGCCGATCTTGACGTCAAAAAAGAAGGGGCACCCAATTGTAAACGTTTACCCAATCATTGTATGAAACACATTTGTTGAACGTATACTGTTAATTAGCTTTATGTCAACAGTTTGTGTTATAAATTAGTACTTTGAAAATTTAACTTACTCACTGCTTTAAAACAAATTTTGATTTTCTTTGAATGTCACCTTTCTCATTAACACACATTATTTTAAAATAATTAAATTCAAAAATATGAAATAGAACTCAGACAATACATTCTACAAACTAAGTAATCTTTAATTAAGTAATAAAAAGATTTCAATCAATAGAATTTGCAACAAATAACAGTTGCCTAACAGTTTGGACGAAACCAATATTTGGATAGTGGATAAATTACAATATTTTGACAAGTCCAGTTATACCAATTAAGGCACAAATCACACTGAATACAATTATCTTCCAAATCTTCCAAACAGTCACAGCATTTCCACCCCATACAAATGACTGCATTTTTTAATTGCTCAATTATCAGGAAAGCATCTGGTTGAAAAAACTTTCGAATAGATTCAATGTTTACTCTTTCATCTCTCATACGTTGCATAGGTACAATTTGTGAAATAACAGATACTTCATCCTCTTCAATTAATTTGCCAGAAGCTGCTCGCATGGCAACTCTTGAATCCACAAAATAATTTAGTACAATGTCAAGCTTTTCCTTATCCGTCTTGCTTTCAAATGTGTCCTCTCGCACACGCACAATTTGTGGTTTCTTTTTCCTCTGCCCTCGATTCAAACCAATAACAGTTTGGCCAAAACCCTTTTGCATTGCCTTGTTTTTTTAAAGGCCGTATCAATTTTATGGACGACAAATCACAGTTTGTTTGTGATATAGTTTCTTGTGCATCATTTTGCAGGAATCGTTTTCTCGGGATCTTGTGAAGATTTTATTTGGTCTTCATTTGGTATATCTACTAAAAGTAAATTGTGTGGCTGTTCTGTCATATCTTCATTTTGATCATGTGAAAATTCAGATACATTAATTAATTTATCTCTTGTTAATAAATTTTCGAAGTCTTTAAGTTTCCCTAAATAATATTGATATTTATCATTGGCAAAGTGGACATAATTAAGTTAATGTTTTTTGTTATTTTATTTGTTTCGCTATATTTATTACTTTCAGTTTTCTGCTTTGCAGTAATATGCAAGCCTCCCTGTGGATGCATGTTTTCGAACACAGGGTGAGAAGACAAGTAATATGGTCTAGTCCACCTCACACGAGCAAGTGAACTTAAATATATTGGTAAATTCTTCTCTCGTCTTACTGCCATAATATGACGGCATGGCAAACCCACGAAAGAATAAAATTCACAGCTGCATGATTTTTCTGTAGCTATAATAATTGCAGTTCGTTTTCTTAAAATGTAAACATTATTCTCTACAGTTGAGAATGTTATCTTTTTTGACTGTTCATATTCAGTGCAGACATGACCAGCAGCAAACTGAGTAAGATTTTTATTAATTTCTATCTCAACTTCATCAAGATTATCAGTTTTAACAGGCACTTTTTCCATCATTGTTATCGCACGGTGGTCTCGCTCAACATTTGTGGATACAACAGAAATTATCAAGTTTTGAAAAAAATTACCTAGAGAACTGTATCTGGTAATTACAGTTTTCAGCTTCTGATTTAAGCTTTCCAGTCTGTTTATAGTCCTGTTTTTAATGATAAAGTTTCTGTTTTGTTCATATAGAACCCATTCATCCTTTTTACAATGCCAGTTGTTATTGTAATATGTAGTTAAATCATGGATATTTAATGACATTAATTTACTATAATTAATGCCATAATCCTCTTCAGACTCGGAATAGGCTAAATTAGTCAAAATCTCTAGCACTTGATTCTTGAGAGTAGAATTTAATTTATCTAGTTTTAAAGGTATTTCACGTTTAAACGTACGCAGAGCATGAAAAAGGCATAGCTGAATTTTTGCTGAGGGAAATTTCTCTTGAAACACAATTCTATCTGCAAAGTCTTTGTCTCCCACTATGACTTTAACTTCTGTCCAGGCTTCATTGCTTTCTTTAAAAAAAATCCAGCATTGCCCCTATACACATTTTGCTTTCAGAGCGAATAATGAAGAAAGCAACAACTTCACTTTCACCATTGCCATCTACAGCTAATAAAACAAATAGTGTCAACTTATAATTGTTCAGTTTGTATGTGGCATCAAAAATTAGAAGTTCCGGATATTTCCTAAACACTACTTGCATTCTAGTATCTTGAAAATACACACCTATTGACTCTTTCGTTTCTTCTTCATATGCGACATTTATGACAGCTCCTGGTATACACTTCATGGAGTCGAGCATTCTTTCCAAATCTGTCAGTCCATCTTTTTTCTCATTTTGTTGCAATTTTGTTGATATATTATGCAGTGATTTTAGTATTACAGGTTTTCCTCCTCTCTGCTCCATCAAATGTGCTTGAATTTTTTTCTTTTTGCCTCCTGACTTTATGCTAAGTTCAGCTTCTTTCATCTCCTCTGCATTTAATCTCAACTTTCTGGAAGATGTCTGAACCTTTCTTCACTAAGTGCGTGATTACAGTGTTCCAAAAACGACTCTTTAACGACTAAAAAGCCATTACTAGAGCGCTTAACTTCAGCTTGAAGTTACATCCAAGTTTCCCAGTTTTAACATTCGGCCTAATGCCTTTTGCCGATGACTGTTTATGAATCTGTCCTTTTTTACATTCAAATGTAACATATTTGTATATATAACGTTTCACGATGTTTATGCCCCTCGTGAAATTTTTCTGATCTTGTTTTAATGAAAACAGAGAAACTTTGATTTTTCATACATTTCTTTCGCCCTTTCAAGTTCAAAATATGTGGAAAACTTGTTTCCACACTTAAAAGGCAAGAACTTTTTTGTCATATCCATCGTACCTCAAGTTATGTCAAACACGTGAATTTCAGTAAGAGAAACTAAAAATTAATTACCAAAGAAATCGCATAGAAGGAAGATAAACAAAAACTACTAAAAACGCTTTTTATTGATGAGCAAGGTTTAACAACATTCGCTCTCGCAACCGCCTGCCATACGGAAATCGGTGCCAATGCTAGTACCTGGGGCGGATTGTGCGCATGCGCGAATCTAGGTGGTTTGAATAGCATTTTGGCTATTCGCACCCACTTCGTTATGGGCAGGGCCCTCCAACCAGCTCGGGGGTTGCGACTTCGCCCATTTGCAGAATTCTGCACGATATCCCTCAGGAGGACATCCGCAACCTCTATCAATCGATGCTAAGCCGAATAATTGCTTACATAAGGGCCAGAGGTCGACAAATGCGCTACTGACTTTTTCACTGAAGCTCTATCCCTTCAATAAATCATCCAATTTTTCTCAAACTGTAATCATTAGTTTTTCTGTACATGTACATCACTTCTACAGATTTTCGTCCCATTCGGATAACTCCTTCTTGTTTTTTTTTTTTTTTTTTTTTTTTTTTTTTTTTTTTTCCTGAGGGTGTGTAATGTACAGGAACAAAGAGTAGTTGGTGCAGTTGGTGGAATCAGAAGCACATCTGCTCCGCTGTCCACTAAAAACTGTAATCCCGATATCATGTTGGCGACATATAGTTCAAATTTGAGGCAATTATAATTCCTTGCGGCGGAACCGGCCGCGGAGTCCAAGCCGCTGACTCACGTTTCCCGACTCTTTCCAATCAAATGTTGCTTGCGCAGGGGCCATGCTAATTTTCGATGTATCGTTCCAATTTTAATACATGTACTGCCGATTTTATATCTGAATTGAATTATGACCCACTTAATGTAGATAATCTCAGACGACAAAGAGCCGTACTTATGAAATTATAATGTTTATTGCTGTTCTGGTTGTATCTGATTCTTTTTATTACTTGTATATATCTGCTCATTTTTATTATTTATATCGCTGTTTCGTCTTCCCCCTTTTCATTACTTATTTAACGAACAAAGCGAATGGGTTTTTCTTTGGTACTAACCTCTCTGTCACCCAATCACTAGTTTTCCCGACTCCGGCTCTCATGTGATCCACTACTCTGTGTTTCATTCGTCGATTCCATTTTTCTCCCGATGGACATTATTCGCTTTACTCCTCACTACCTTGGACTTATTTTGTTATCTGAACTACTACTGGCACCTATAGATATGCTACTTATACGTTAAACTATTTATATTTTTATCAATCTGAGATAAGGCTTCGGCCCAGAAACCCATGTCTCGTGGTCTGCGGCCACCTAACACGGTTGCTTGCATTTTTCAGGATAATACAGAGCGCCAAATTTGAAATGGTAATAACAATATTTACAGCGTTTCATCAAATTTCTTTCTTGGCCTCGAATGGCTTCGGTGTCTACTGCAGTTGCAAACCCGTGGTTTGTAATACCGGACAGTCATGCTCAGTGGCGTAGCGAGGGGAGGCAATGGAGTGTATGATGTCCCAGGCGCCGCTCGCGGAGGGGCGCCAAATCGTCTCCAAACAAGATTTTCATCATATCACTGTGTTTTTTCCGGGAATGGGAGGCCCCAAAAAGGTATTTTGCCCCGGGCGCCAGTTATGCTCGCTACTTCACTGGTCATGCTGACAATTTGGAGCTTTAAATGAGGAAATTTTCTGCTGTAGTTCTTCTACTATTGTAACTTGCCCACTGAAACCAATTCTTGGCGTCAGTTAAACTCCACCATTTACAGCCATTGTAGCCAGTTTGTCCAGAGTCTCGTCGCTAACCACTAGGTTGTGTTTCATAGCTTCTGGCATCTTTTCCAGCCAGACAGTTCGCAACGTATTCTTTGACATATCTATTCTATCCCCATAGATTTAATTCTGAGAAGGAGCTGAATGGGTTCTATGTTGCAAAATTCCAACCCAGTGAACAGAGGTTTAATGCTGTAATTTTCACCTTCATTAAAAGTGTTTAGTAATATTTCCTTAGCAGACGAATATTTGTTGCTCGTAGAGTATTTTATGATATCCCAGATGTTCTTCATAAATCTAGGTTCTAATTGGACGAAAAAATAATTGATCATCGTCTTTTCACTCTTGATACCACTAATTAGGAATCGGGCCTGTACTCGGTAAAACCACATCTCCGGTTTTTCAACCCAAAATGGCGGAATTTTCAGACTCACCTAGCTAGCCTCGACAACCGGCTGAGTACCTATATCGTTGTCCATAGCAAAAAATGTTTCACTCAAAAGTCATCACTTGTTAGATGTCTCGTTTTTTTTTTATTATTATTATTATTATTATTATTTATTTTATTATTAAAGTTGCATGTAGACTCAAATACCTTTCAAATAGGATACAATCAAGCAAAATACACCTGCGAGACAAATTCTAATTCTTTTTATTCAAACTAAAATGTTTTAGTTAATATACAATCATTAATTCAGTCATGTTACAAAATTAAATAAGAAGAAAATAAAAATTGGGCAGGAAGGTCTGAGTGTACCTCATAGTCTGAGTGGCCTCATGATCAAATCCCAGGGGGTTTGCGCTGCTACTAAGAAAATTAAAGCAGTTGTTGAATGTACAAAGCGAAATAGCTACAATAAGCAGCTGATTTTTTTTTCCAATGGCGGGCACTTGCCTATAACGGTATTGGCAACTTCTAAGGACGGAGATGGTGGTATTTTATTGTGGATGCACCTAATAGGCGACCACCGATACCTTTCTGTGAAGTGACAGATAATTTTACACCCATCCATTCTCTGGGATTCAAACCCCGGCCCTTACAGTGAAAAACAAAGCCTATATACTCTCGTCGCCAATGTGCAAGTAGTTGCGTGATCAACTAAAATAAAAGAGCCATCTGTATGAGCTTAAAATAATAATGCATACTGCGTCCCTTTAAGTGTTCTTGTTCGAATGTTCCCAACTCGAACACTGTTACCCGGTTCGAAATATGCACGAATTATTCTACCCAATTTCCATTGAAGAGGTGGCATGCTATATTTAATCGGAACTAAGTCATTTCCAGACAAATTTTTGTGAGATTTCTACCTCTTATTTCAATACTGTATCTCAGAAAGATATTCTCGTCTCCATTTTTTCCAAAAATTTTGGAAAATTATCTCACTTTCCACAGGTCAAGAATTTTTTGGGTGTTCTATATTTTCTTCAGGCAAAGATGTGAGAAATGTACTAATGACGAGGTGTTTAAGTGTGAGAACAGTAATATTTGGTTTATCAGATTGTGGAGATAAAGGCCTCGAATTCATGCTGGCCTAATCTTCGTTATCAAGGTTGTGAATTCGAGGTATGTCAAGATCGCTGCTACCATTGATCTTCGAAGATGATACTTCATAAATTTCTCAGAGGATTCCCAAAATCCTCAAAAATGGGAGTCGGCTGGTGGAATGATATTCCATTTCACAGTTTCTTAAGTCAGAAAAGAATAGCGATGGGTAAGCTCACAGTTTTCAAGCGCGTAGTCACGGCAAGATAGGTTTTTTTTTTTTTAAATGGTGAATCGCAACAGAAGGATAAAGTTTTAAAAATATATTGAGGAAAAACAGTAAGGGACATAAAACAATAGAAGCTAACAACGCTTAGATGTATGGCGCCTGGTTATAAATTGCCAGCTTACACGGGACCCGAATGATTTATCCATCTAAAGAAAAGCCAGTGTTTATGAAGTGTTTTCGAGCCAGAGAAGATCCAATCTCATATAGTGAATTTTTTAACAAAGATCTTGATTCTATGCAGTTAAATGAATCATCTCGATTCAATGGAATTTGAAGAGCATCCTGATTCTACTTAGTTGGATGAATCATCCCGATTCAAAGAAGTTCGCAGAGAATCACCTTGATTCTGTGGGATTTACAGTTTTGAATGAATCATACCTATTCAATAAAGTTTGAGAGTAACCACCCTGATTCTGAAAAGTGAATCATCCCGATTTAGTGAAGTCTGATTGGAATCATTTTGATTCTATGCAGTTTTAGACGAATCATGCGTGCTCTGGTATGCGTGCCCAGCGTGCAGACCACCACACCACGAAGGCATGCTAAGAAGGCGGGAGATATACCTTAAAGCTTTCTGAGGGAAATTGGCTCGCATTCATGTTACTCATAGGCAAAACAACGACAGCTCATATCCAGCTAGATTTTTAAACTCCCGTTGACGTTGAACTACCGGTGTTCAGTGTTTTTATCGTTCGGCTATTGAAGAGCCTTCAGGTATTTTTAAGAGTTTGGATATTCATTTTAAATGCTCATACTCTAGAGCAGCGATTCTCAACCGGTGGTACGCAAGAGAAAAATAGGTGGTACACAAAGAAGAAAAGTATTTTTAACTATTAAATTCAAAAATCTTGTGAAGAAAAGCAACAATTGATAGAAATTTCCTGTAATCTAACTCTAAACTGAAGATTTCAAAAATAACACACTCGTTAATTTTGGGCTGAAAGGCATTTCAAGTAAAACTATTAAATTTTTATTGCCTTTTTGGACTTTGGTGTTTTGCGTAACTTATTTTTGTGAACAGAGATTTTCTTCCATGTTATATTTGAAAAATAAGCACAGAACAAAATTAAAAGTGAATCTGAATTTAAGTTCAAAACTAAATTAAATAAGACCAGACATAAAAAACAAATATTTCTTTAACAGGCTCAAATAAATTTGTAATTAAAATATTATAACTTAAATATTAATAATCAAAATGGTAACCAATTTTTAATCTAATACGTTTTATGTGTGCACATTTAATACAAGTAGCCAATAGGTTGTGCAAATGGCAAAATATATTTTTTTAATATTTCTATTGAGAAAATGAAAAATAATGATTGTAAAATGTAGTGGTGGTACAAATGTTTTTCAATTTTTGTTTAGATGGTACGCGTTAGTCGAAAGGTTGAGAACCGCTGCTCTAGAGTTCAGAATATACAAATATTGTCTACCATTCAGTTGATGATGATCTTTGAAATCTATATAATTCTGCTGTGTATATAACCTTGTCTCAACATCCTGTAGACACTACTAGACTTGGAATTGAGTTATCGCTTTAGTTTTCAACAACGGTCCAAGACGTAAGAAGATTAAATTTGAACTCTTAAATGAACAGAATGTGTGCTATTATGCTACAGATAAACATCCGCTGCTTTCGGGTATTTCAATTAACATAAGATAAAGTTACATTCAAATGTAGGTAACTAGTCTGAAATTACACTCATAAAAGTCTACTTAAGCTCGTTCAAAATATTTAACGTGCGTATTTTAAAAGTCGGGTAGGCAGATGCTAAAGCCAAAATAACTTTGGCAGAGCTGGTGATAGTATGTAATTATAAAGCTAGGCTACCAGAAGCTCTAAAGCATTAAAAACCTTGGCTTAAGTGTACAATACCTAATCTGCTTTCTAAGTTAAAGTAAAATCAGTTGTGGTTAATAGACATAAAATCCTACAAATCTATTTTTTTGAAACACAATCTTATATTAGGTGGCCTTAGATGGTAAAATGAATGTAAAAAATCCTTTTAAGTTACCAGCTTGTGTTGCTTTTCATAGAATGAATGAATCATGAAAAAATTACAGACAGGTTTATAAACTAGGGGGAATAAGCCAAAGTTTTATTTTGGAAATAAAATTTCTTATTTTCTCTACTGTGAAGGATGGCTTTAGGTGATATGGACATTTCGTATAATCGGTGTGTCAGTATTATACACTGCTGGCCACTCAAATTGCAACACCAAGAAAGACAAGAGATATCACAACAAAATTTATTTAGTAGATAACATGCTGACCAAGTATCAAATGATTAAATTTATA